AGCTCTCAATTTACCGGTCGATCTACGTCCCTACCCTCACCTATGGCCACGAGCTGTGGGTAGTGACCGAAAGAACGAGATCGCGGATACAAGCGGCAGAAATGAGCTTCCTCCGAAGGGTGGCTGGCCTCTCCCTTAGAGATAGGGTGAGAAGTTCGGCCATCCGGGAGGGGCTCAGAGTAGAGCAGCTGCTGCTCCACATCGAAAGGAGCCAGCTGAGGTGGTTCGGGCATCTGACAAGGATGCCCCCTGGGCGCCTCCTGGGTGAGGTGTTCCAGGCATGTCCCACCGGGAGGAGGCCCCGGGGCAGACCCAGGACACGCTGGAGAGATTATATCTCTCGGCTGGCCTGGGAACGCCTTGGTATTCCCCCGGATAAGCTGGAGGAGGTGGCTGGGGAGAGGGAGGTCTGGGCCTCTTTGCTTAGGCTGCTGCCCCCGCGACCCGGCCCCGGACAAAGCGGATGAGGATGGATGGATGGACAGTATTGAAAATCCTGCTGTCAGAATTTCTAAATACCCTACAGTTCAGCTCAAGCCTACTTTGCACTGACTCTCTAAGTCTTTGAAATTCTACCGAGGCCATAAATCATTCTTGTGAAAAGAAATTCTCCCATTTGATGCTTTGATGATGGTTTTAGAGAGTACTAATATGACATGAGTAGTTGGTTTAAGATTTGGTGACACATCGAAGTGTGGCTACTTGTTTACCAGTGATGGGGCCATTATCATCCAGGAAGAGCCCACTCCCACTGCGATAGAAATGTTAATCCCCCAGAACAACTTTGCATTAAGTGCAGTAACCCCAACAGGAACAGAAAAATAGCCCTCACAGCATAAACAAGCTGGATATACCCTCATTGTTAGGTTAGGGACTCAGGATTTTCCTTTAACTTGTTAGCGGTGTGCCAGTTTGCATTAGAGATGGCTTTATTAGATGTGAAAATAAAGGACTAGAAAGCCCTTTTTAATTGCCTTTTTTAGTTTCACACTCTATATAGAAAACTTTTAATCCTAAGCAGCTGAAATAGACGAATCACTGCTTTGTTATCATCATGTAGCATGTCAGAAACTACTTTATCTTTCAAGTGTGTTCACTTTTTTGAGAGTCAGACATTAGTTGTAGTTAGTTTTAAACCAAAGTATCGGCATTCACAGAAAAGCCACAGAATGTTGCTGTGATAATTTCAAACTTCAGTTTCCGTCAGAGCTCTTAAAATAAGTCTCGTTTTTGTGCAGATGCAAGTGGAGGATGTCCTGACGCCGTCTACCTGTGTGTGCCGAACTGAAGAGGGAAGACTGTTAGACGGTGAGTTATTAGTGTGATCTCGGGCTTGCTCGGTGTTATTTTTCTCAGTCTGTGGCGTTCGTGTTTTCTGTTGCCTAATTGGAGCTTGTCAGGAAATGTGTAAAATGTGTGCTGTCACTGTCTCTGTTGAATTCCTTATTCATCTAACAAGTTAAGGTGTTTTTAGCTGCTCATAAGTTGCATGAAAAAAATTAATCACTGTTATTGTGAGGTGTTTAAGGAATAGACAGATGTGACTTTTTTTGTTAGAATTTGAAGGAAATGTATGGCTTTATTTGTTTTTGAAGGTTTGTTAAATCTCTTTTTTTCCATTTCTTTGCACATAATGATGAATAAGTTATAATTGTTGACCAGTAGATTAACTTGTAATGCTCATTTTCTTTTCCCTCAGGTTAAGTTTCCCAGGTCTGCACCTTTGCATATTTAAATATAAAGGTGTATAGGTCCTCGCAGCTAACTTTCAACAATGCAAAGCAAATATGGATTTTTAAAAAATGGTTGAACTATCCCTTTTGGCACGACTGAATCTCCAGAATAACCAGTCTTCTATACTGTTTACAGTTAGTTAATTTGAGAGATATGTACAGTTTTAATCTGTTAGGATTATACTCAGATCTCTTCTGTCATGATAAGTTTTGTTTCTGTGTTTTGTTTAAAATGAACTTCATATTGTCCTGGCTGCAGTTGTGCTTTTTAACAGCTAACTTTACACAATGCTATCATGTCAAATCAGTCACTTTAAAATCATGTCAGCATAAAAGTGTTCAGAATCTTTAGGCGCAGGACAAGAATCTGTTTGCAGATTACTTACAGGTAAATGGTCCTGTTGAAGAGCAAGGGGAGGGATTACTGATTATTGTTATTGCCAAAATATAACCTTGAGTTAGAATAATATTTTTACATTTTATTTGTTCTTTAAAATGTATTTGTTGCAAAAATAATAACATGACTTCTTACCACGGATATCTGCTGGCTATGGTGGAAGCATTGGTTATTGTTCTGAGAGGTCGGTCTGCTGATTTAAATCTGGCAACCAGACTTCCCAGATTGGGGATTAATTTGATTCTTTTTCCTTATTGGTTATTAGCAAACATACAGTGGCTTGCAAAAGTATTTGGCCCCCTTGAAATTTCCCACATTTTGTCACATTACAGCCACAAACATGAACCAACTTCATTGGAATTCCACGTGAAAGACCAATACAAAGTGGTGTACACGTGAGAAGTGGAACCGAAATCATACATGATCCCAAACATTTGTTACAAATAAATAACTGCAAAGTGGGGTGTGCGTAATTATTCAACCCCTTTGGTCTGAGTGCAGTCAGTTGCCCATAGACATTGCCTGATGAGTGCTAATGACTAAATAGAGTGCACCTGTGTGTAATCTAATGTCAGTACAAATACAGCTGCTCTGTGACGGCCTCAGAGGTTGTCTAAGAGAATATTGGGAGCAACAACACCATGAAGTCCAAAGAACACACCAGACAGGTCAGCATCCCACGGAGCACTGTTCAAGCGATCATTCAGAAATGGAAGGAGTATGGCACAACTGTAAACCTACCAAGACAAGGCCGTCCACCTAAACTCACAGGCCGAACAAGGAGTGCACTGATCAGAAATGCAGCCGAGAGGCCCATGGTGACTCTGGACGAGCTGCAGAGATCTACAGCTCAGGTGGGGGAATCTGTCCATAGGACAACTATTAGTCGTGCACTGCACAAAATTGGCCTTTATGGAAGAGTGGCAAGAAGAAAGCCATTGTTAACAAAAAAACCACAAGAAGTCCTGTTTGCAGTTTGCACCAAGCCATGTGGGGGACACGGCAAACATGTGGAAGAAGGTGCTCTGGTCAGATGAGACCAAAATGGAACTTTTTGGCCAAAATGCAAAACGCTATGTGTGGCGGAAAACTAACACTGCACATCACTCTGAACACACCATCACCACTGTCAAATATGGTGGTGGCAGCATCATGCTCTGGGGGTGCTTCTCTTCAGCAGGGACAGGGAAGCTGGTCAGAGTTGATGGGAGGATGGATGGAGCCAAATACAGGGCAATCTTGGAAGAAAACCTCTTGGAGTCTGCAAAATACTTGAGACTAGGGCGGAGGTTCACCTTCCAGCAGGACAACGACCCTAAACATAAAGCCAGGGCAACAATGGAATGGTTTAAAACAAAACGTATCCATGTGTTAGAATGGCCCAGTCAAAGTCCAGATCTAAATCCAATCGAGAATCTGTGGCAAGATCTGAAAACTGCTGTTCACAAACGCTGTCCATCTAATCTGACTGAGCTGGAGCTGTTTTGCAAAGAAGAATGGGCAAGGATTTCAGTCTGTAGATGTGCAAAGCTGGTAGAGACATAACCTAAAAGACTGGCAGCTGTAATTGCAGCAAAAGGTGGTTCCACAAAGTATTGACTCAGGGGGCTGAATAATTACGCACACCCCACTTTGCAGTTATTTATTTGTAAAAAAATGTTTGGAATCATGTATGATTTCCGTTCCACTTCTCACGTGTACACCACTTTGTGTTGGTCTTTCACGTGGAATTCCAATAAAATTGATTCATGTTTGTGGCTGTAATGTGACAAAATGTGGAAAAGTTCAAGGGGGCCGAATACTTTTGCAAGCCACTGTAAATGTCAGAATCTGCTGGCTCTGAGTGCTGCCTAGTTGGTATTACTGCAGAAATTCTTCAATGAATGACGTAGCGTTTCTTTTTTTCTTTTCCTGTGGCAGATGTGAAGCAGGACATGCTGGAAACTATTGTCCCAAAAAGTGAATATGATTCTGTAATGGTGGTACTGGGTGAGCACAAGGGAAAGGTGAGCAAAGTAACCTCTCTGCTTTTTATTTATAGATAGATAATTTGTTTAAATCTGATTAGCTAATACTGATCACTATATTCCCACCTGATTCAGGTTGGCCGTATTCTTCAGCGGGACAAGAACAAGTGCAGAGCGATGGTCCAGCTCGACAGATACGAGGATAAAGTGTTCACATTGGACTATGACACCATTTGTCACTATGTTGGGGCAGCAGCAGACCACTGATTTCTGATGTTTACTGTAATATTCACTGTCCTTTTTCCATCGACTTCTTCCCAGCTGTTTTTTTTTTGTTTTGTTTTTTTAGTTATTATTCAAGTATTATGGATTTTAAAAGATTGCAACTTTGTAATAAAAACTTGTCGATTTTTTTCCCCTTGTACATATGGCAATGCAACAATTGAGAAAAAGCTGCAACAGATAATTTTCACAGTAGTCTTAAGTTTATTATCAGGTTCACTGATGGGTCTAGTGACAACGAGAAGTGAACCTTTGGGTCATATAAAAACATATTTACAAATGCTCTACACGGCAGGAGTATGAATAGAGAAGCTGTCCAAAAAGTTCAGCCCTTCATTTCTGACATGTACACATTTCACAATGAAAAGAAAAGCCTGTCAAACTATGATGTTTAGCATGTGAGCATAATGAAGACCAACTGTAGAGTTGTGGGTTTTAAGTTGCTGTCTTCGTAGTATCTGCTTTTACTCCTTGGGTAGTTGGTTTGCTGCGTTAGCCCGAAGAACAGCTCCTGGACTCGGGTACGGACGCTGCTGGAAGAGAGGCCCCGCTGCTGTGGTGTCTGCACCCGTTTTTGCTTCATTACGTTTGGGCAGCCCACTTGACCACGACCCCCTGCAAAAATGAATACGTTTGTGTTCACTGCATTTGTAATCAGCACTACAATGTCTTCTGTGTCTGAAAAGGGGTTTTGTCAAGCCTGAGAAAACGACCTTGATCAAATTGCAATGACAATCTCAGTTTGGTCTTAGGAATATTTTAAACAGAAACCCTGCAGGTTTAGATCTTAGACATTTCAACAGCAGACAATTTGGCTCATGGTGGCAGGAAAACTGCAATGAGGTAAATTTGGTTAATGACGACTACAGTATGTTGCATTTACAGCTACAATAAGACTGACTGCACATACAAGGATAATGAAACTAGCGTGCTGAAGTAGTATGGAGCCATTTAAGTTGTTTTTATACCTGTGCTTTCTCTGACATGCCAAGTCAAAATGCTGTTTAAAAAAAAGTGCATGGCCCCTTCCCAGCGTTCACACATGTTCCTGCTCTGAGGGCTCAGAGCTCATAAGGATACGAGGCCTTTCTGCAAGTCTTTATTTTATGCTCAAGGGAATAAGTGAGTTGTGATAAAAGCTGGTCAAATTTGGTCAAATATTAAGAGTAACTTTTTTGAAAATGGGAGGAAAACTAATCCAGTTCACTATGAACATTATGTTACTGGAATAAAATCTGCCTCTTGTTGAGGTGTGGTGCCTTGCATGAAATGTAGATTTATGTGAGCTCCCTAAACCAGGGATATCAGCTATGCTGATTACCATTTTGAATTTTGAGAGGACACACTCAAAAATTGTACCTGTGCTGTGTGAGGGTTTAGTTCTTACGTCTAAGATAAAAATGCATGATGGGAATTGATTTGGTCTGTCTCTCATAACTATTTTTCAACAAGTGCAACACAATGATTCTGGCAAAATCAGAATACCAGAGAACGACCTGTATATAGCTTATATCGAGGTGACCATCTGTACTGTACCTTGGAGCATCAGAGTAAGCACTTGGATCCATGGGGTCCATCTCATCATCTTTTCTACCTGTAAAAAATATTAAGTGTTCAATATTCAATCATGTGAAAGTTGCTGATGTGTAAACATGTAATGAATCAGATGTAAACATTACCTTTTTTGCTTCGACTGTATGGTGCTGCCTCATCTCTTCTCTGCTTTCTTCTGTCTCTGTCCCTCCCATCATCACGTTCTCTGTCCCGGTCCCTTTCCCTGTCCCTTTCCCGATCTCGATCCCTTTCCCGATCCCGGTCTCTGTGTCGTTCTCTGTCCCTGTCTGGTTTCTCAACTTGCTTCTCGCCTTTTTCATCTCCTCCTTCTACTAAAAACACAAGTTAAGGCAAGGATCACAAGATTAGCCATGGCTGAAATCTGTCAAAAGCAAACTGTATTCTGAGGTTGTACATTCAAAGTAGCACACGTCAACTGTAACAGAACTGAAATTTGTGATCACTAGTGCTTCTTGAAAACATTACATTATAGAGGCTGAATAAAAGCATACCTCTTATTTTCTTGGCAGGTTTTGTTATTACTGCAGATGGGTCATTTGGGGATAACCAGGCAACCATATCTGTCTCGACATTCCAGTAATAAGGAAGACCACTGTTTAAGGAATAGAAAACATTAGCGATTAATATTGCAACCACAAAATTAAATAAAACTTACTTAACAGTTTAAAAATACACTTTAGCTCTCCATGACAGTAGTTATAATGTTCAAGGACTTCTCAAGAATAAAATGAGAAACAAGAAAGAAAAAGTAAAAAGCGCATTCTGATTGTGAAGTTTATAACAATCATTTTGAATTAAAAGTATAAAATTCTTATTATATTAAATTATAGTATATCAAGTGTACATACCAAGCAGAGTCAAACACTTTGTACCAGTTTGGTGGTAGATTCTCCACTCTGGTGGCTTCATAATCTACATTGTTGTCATCATAATCTTCAGCAATAATCTCCTCATCTGCCCCTGGATTAATTGAAGGGGAAAAGGTTTTTAAAAAGGCATGGAAAAAAAAGCACAAAACATAAGGAGAAATTCACAAAGGGTAGAGACCCGAATATGAAATCTGTTCCACTACCTTGCTCTGTTGGTTTAACAATCCCTCTCTTGGCCAATCGGGCCAGCAGTGCTGGAGGTAAAGGCATCCTGAAAGACGGAGTCCATGTGAAACTCTGTTCATATTATGGCTGAAATTCACTTGGGGTACCAGAATAACAGTTGCAGAACAAATGCTCATAACACATTATTACACAGTATTAAAATAGTCTTATATCAGATAATATAATACATATCATTTACTTTCAATAATATGTACCCTTTGATTAATTAGGACATATAGAAACTCATCATTTACACACAAACCACTAAGTCACATGTGGCCATAAAGTAAAATGCACATGATTACCACCATTATATAGTTTAGTGATCTTTAATATAAGCACATTTTGTAACAGTTTCATTACTTTCATGGGCTATTTTATATATTTTTATCATCATTATGTTTAATATTTTTGGTCCACCATTCATTTCACACTTTACTGAGCACTTGGTTTTGAAACAGTTCCCATATTTACCTGTTTTTTATTCTTCATCTTCTTCTTCTTATTATCATTATTTTGTTTTGTCCATTTTTTTCTGGGACATGTCTTGTTTTCTGATAAGCGGAGATTAAGCCTTTACTGTAATAATTCTATCAAAAGCAGCTTTAACACTGCCCAGAACCACATTTTTGCAGCAGACTTGTCACATCTGTAGACAAGTATTTCCTGCAATAAATTACTGCTGGCTGTTTTGATGTCGATATCACAATGATATTCCTGAATTGCAGTTTAAAGCATGTATCCTGGCAGGTCTGAGAATGACTGAACTCCTGAACTGTTATGTGTCCTGTCATCATTTAAAGTAATCTGCTCATAAAAATTAAAGTAACTCCATAATCCTAATAAAGAAATCTTTTTCCTAGGTTATATGGCCATCGTACGCGAATCCCAGGTAAAACTTTACTAGCTCCTTATTTTATGTGCATGTGCGTATATGTATTTACATATATACACATACCTATATATTTTTTCTTTGTGATTATTTGTACCATGTACAATACGAACTGTTTCCTTTAACAAGAAACTAACACGCTTGCGGTGCATCCGCGGCTGCAGATGTAAGATTAACGCAATAAACAAAACTATGCGTCTCCAAAAAGCATCCACACCACACAAACACAAACGTTACCCTTTACTTCAAAAGACTGAACAACAAGAAATAGTTAAATTCTTACCTTTTCTTTAAAAAAAAAAGGTGGCCCTTTTTTATCGTCAAGCTAACGATACCTCTTTCCAAAACAGCATACACGGCGCGCTTAATGATGACGTAATCACGTCTTCTCGACGAAGACGACGTAAACAGACATGGAGGAGTATGCCCGAGAGCCCTGGTAAGATTAGATTTTAAGCGTTTGTTTGTATTTTAGAACTAATTAAGTTGGAGTCAAGTGTTGACTTTCTTAAATTTCATACTCAGCTTTGACGTGAGAGTGAGCAGAAAGGCTCTGCGGTTGTTGCGGCCTGCTTATTAAAGGCATATAAAAAACATAAAGATGTTATATGGAGGCGCCCTCTGCACACACAATAAGCTGGTAGAGTCACCTTTATCTGAAAATGTCGCTGTTTTTAAGTGACAACTGGAGTTAGGATAGAAATTAAAAATAGTTCAGGGTGGATTAATCTCAAAATATGGTTCCAAACAGGCAGTACACGAAGCTTCATTTATTTATTTATTTATTTATCAAGTTAAGACACACCTCGAGCCAAGGTTGATCCCCTACAAGTCAAACTTTAATGATAGTTCAAAGTAACGGGATAAAGAATCCAGATATCAGCCACTTCATTAGGCATACCTGTCCACCTACTGATTAATGTAAACCTACATTCTGTCACTTGGCAACAACATAGTGCATTTAGGCATCTGGACATGGTCATGACGCATTGCTGAAGTTCAGGCTGGAGAAGTTCAAACAGCTTATTTTTATTGATTTTGAACATCACATGATTGCTTTTGGCAGAATGGCCGATCTTTTCAATATTTCCGAAACTGTTTAACTACAGCCTTTTCCCCACAAAATAATTTCTAGGGTTTTACAGAGAACAGCGTGAAAAAGAGAAAATATCCAGTGAGCAACAGTCATATGGTTGAAAAAGCCTTGTTGATGTCAGAGATCAGATGAGAGTGGCAGACTGCTTTGAACTGAAGGCAGCAGTAACTCAAATAACCACTCCTTACAACTGAAGTGTGCAGTATAGCATCTCTGAATGGACAACATATCAACCCTCAAAGCAGCTGGGCTATGGCAGGAGAATACTAAATTGTCACTTCCCTTCTCCACACCTCATTAGTTCTTTCACTACTGTTTGACATATTTTTTTATGATGTTTGATATGTTTTATAACACAAACATAACTCAGAGGTGAGCATTTAGTTATTTGTGTGGCTTTAAGGAACTAGTTCTTCATCCAAGGGTAATATACATTTCTCAGCCAGAACTGTGCCCATATTGTCTTCGGCTTCATCCAGACCGCGATTGATAACTTCTGCATTTTGTATATGAACTGGATGTTAGTTGTCAGATATATCTCCATTGTCAGTTTTCCTATCACATAGAAATCCATTTCTCTCTTAACGCAGCCCCTGGAGGATAGTGGATGACTGTGGAGGTGCTTTCACAATGGGTGCAATTGGAGGAGGGGTGTTCCAGGCGGTCAAGGGCTTTCGAAATGCCCCTGCTGTGAGTTCAAAACACAGGTTTTTGTTTGTTCTTTGGCTCGTCAGGTTGTTAAAGGCAGAATTCAACTGAGCTCTAATATTTCAGGGTGTTGGACACAGGCTGAAAGGGAGTGCAAAAGCAGTGAGAGTTAGAGCTCCACAGATTGGAGGTGAGCAGTTCCTGTTTTTTGTTACACATGGCAGTTAGTTAGTAATATATCATTTTTTGTGTAGATTAAATTGTTTAGGTACAGTTAGCTTCATAAAAGTAGCTGAAGTCTGGTTACTTCTTATGTTGCAGGTAGCTTTGCTGTTTGGGGAGGGCTCTTTTCCACAATTGACTGTGGTTTGGTTCGTCTGAGAGGGAAAGAGGATCCTTGGAACTCTATAACCAGTGGTGCGCTGACTGGAGCCATCCTAGCAGCACGCAGTAAGGAGCTCATTAGCTCAAAAGAAACAATACACCACTGTGTCTCTCTGTGTCAGTAAATACAGCCCCAATTCTGAAAAAGTTGGCATGCTGTGTAAAATGTAAACAAAAATTTTTTGGAATTGGGTTTCTACATTGGGATAATTAGCGTGACTCGCTGAATATTGCATTTTTCTCCAGGTGGACCTCTAACAATGATGGGCTCTGCAATGATGGGGGGAATTTTGCTCGCTCTCATTGAGGGTTTTGGGATTCTCCTAACCAGATACACAGCGCAGCAGTTTCAGAACCGTGAGTGAAGATAATTATGTTTCAGAAATGATATTTAAACTGGGCAGAACCAATGATTTATCAGTAGTTTAGCAAAATGTCACATGATTAAATGTGTGAGTGGTTTTATACCCCTGTACTGGTGTCCACTCCTCAGTTTGACAGAATTATGGCTGGACTTCGGCATAGAGCAACATTTTTCATCTCACTGGTCCCATTTTTACTCACCCTCATCACACTCGTAGCATTTTTTTTGTTTCTATCAAAATGTTTTAAAGAACCTGAGGAAAATCGTCCACTCTCTCAAAGTTCTTGTGCAGTTTAATTTGTGTTTCCTGTTTGATTCGTTTTTCCCAACAACACAATTTCTCACAATGTTAACGATATAACAACTTATAAAACATTTTGAAGGATGTGAGACTATTAAAATCGTTTGGTTTTTTTTTCTTAGTGTTGCTATGAATAACCAGACAAATGTATGAACATCAGGTTGCCTCCAGCACAGCTCAAGTTAGATTTCCTGCTGAGACATGTCTTATTTTGGATGAGATTGTCACGGTTGATGCTGGCCAACCGTGGGGATGTGAGGAAAAGGAGGACCTAGGCGCGGAGCTCTGAATGCAAGCAGTGCGTTTATTTACAGTGAATGGACAATAACAATAAATCCTCAGTGCGTTCCTGACTCCCGTGACATGTCCTCTTCCCAGTGCTAGTGTTCCTTGTCTCCGCTCCTCAGTGTCTGAGCACCCCGTGCTCGCTTCCCTCTCGTCTCCACGCTTCTCCTGCGGAAATAGCAAAGAGGCAGCCGTAAGACACACACAATGCGGACTAACCATACTAACTGGCCGAGAGACTAATGTGAAGTCACGCAATGATCCAGCGTCGGATAGAGCTCCATCACACTCTTAAGCAGCTCCTCTGACGAGGCTTGATCAGCTGCAGGTGTGTGAAGGTCTTCAGGTGGGGCCAACCACCTGGCACACCCATTAGGCCTGAAGGTGCCTGTAAACAGGTGCTCCCAGATACACCTGCATCCACACACACACACGTATACCTGCAAGCAGGGAGAACGAGGGACAGCAACACCAAAAACACATATAATATAAAACAAGTCCATAACTGCTCAGGGACCCTAGGTAGCTCAGATCCAGGTCCTTGACAGTGATGAGCTGAGGAAAGGCTACGAAACCAAAAAGCCTGAAAGCACAGCAGACCTAGACAGTAGTAATATTCATATAAATATTTCTGAGGGAAACATTGGTTATATATTGATTACATGCCAGTGAAGCATGAAAAACTGACTTTGTTGTGTCTTCTTTCTTGATTTCTCCAGCAATTCCCTTTGCAGACGACCCTAGTCAGTTACCACCAAAGGATGGAGATCATCAACATCAGGGGCAAAGGGGGCAGTTTCAGTAGAGAAGGTTCAGGACTGAAGCCAGCTGTGGACAACCAAAAGCATAACAGGAATGCCAGCACATGAACAGCATCTACCAGGATGACCAAGAGGTGGAGATACTGGTCCCTACAGGATGCTAATAGATACCTCAGGGACAAATTACTGTTTCAGTTATTTATGAGTAAATGATAATAATTTCCTCATGTTTGCACCACCTGAAAAATCAACGTTTTCAATATTTATGGTTATTTTGTTCAATGTGTAGTTCTCAAAACCACATAGTAAATTAAATTAGTTATTATAGCAACACGTATCTATTAAAATAAATAATTTTCAGCTCATTTATATTCTTGCTGAGAGTTGGGGACAATGCTCAAGGAACCAAATAAGTTTTATCCAAAAACTGCTTTATGCTTCCAAAGATTTTATACTTGGGCCGATTATGTATTTTAATGACTGAAAGGCAGAAAGTTAAAGTAAGAAAACTGCACATCTTTAAAGTTTTGCATTAGAAAGATATTTATTCGAATATTAACGTTAATATTTATTTACCTGTGAGGTGTTAAAGTCAGTTCAAAGGACATTTGAGGGTTTTTTTTTGTTGAAACTCAGCAAACCCTTTTTTTAAAAATAGTTTTTGTTGATTATAAGTGTTTGTCTAGTCTGTTATCTGTGCACCATTTGTCACTTTAATTGCCGCATAAAGCAACAAAGCACTTTTTAAAAACCTGAAAGTCTCTCATTTCCTGAAATTAGCACCATCCACAAAAAATTCTATCAAATCGATCTGGTTACAAACTGTCAGCAAATATCTATTGTAGTCAACGTACTGTGAACAATGTTCCTAAAAATAATAAAGCTTCAGATGATCTTTAAAAATGTGATCGATTGTTTGTTTGTGACTTCTTTTTCAGGTAATGTGATGAATATTTTTGCAGTCTTGTGATTTACTGCTGACTGGCGCCCCCCGTCGCCAGCCTTTCGGTACTGCATACAGTGGCTGTTTCTCTCCAAGGTCCTGAAATATTGGGGTCCCAACTTGCAAATGCTTTCTTCATCTTGATGGACTATTTTCTTAATATTATTCTCTCTCAAAACTAAAACATCGCAGCAAACTCCCACAGAGCCGGAGAGTTTCTCCACCTCCACCTTCCCCTTGAAAGATTTCCCTTGTCATCCTTTTAAACGGCTCAGCTACTTTAATCCTGACGGCTGGCCGCCGCGAATATATGCACGCGTTTGTTTTAATACTCCTCACCGTTGTGTGCCCGCATAGATAAACTTAATTGCAGTCTTCATTTACACACCGCAAGAAATGACCAGAAAGCGGCTTTAATTGGATTTATGGGCTACAAACTGGCGGTGAGCAGAATGGCCCGCAGCCTCTGAGCTGCACCGGCTTTCTGCATGTGGATATGAAATGACAGGCTACAGATGGTCCTTATTTTTTCCCTTCTCTCTTTGGGGGCCAAATTCAAATCTGTGATCCATTACGCATCACAGA